TTTTTTGGGTCCTGTCCTGGGGCCTGAACTCTGGGCCTGGGTGCTGTCCCTCAGCTCTTCAGCTCTGGCCAGCGCTCTGCCACTTGAGCCACAGCGCCACCACTTCCGGCTTTTTTCTTTTTGCTTATGTGGTGCTGAGGATTCGAACCCAGGGCCTCATGCATGCAAGGCAAGCGCTCTTATCACTGAGCCACCTTCCCAGCCCCTGACACATAAAATTCTATCCAAACAAATATTATGTGTGGTTTGTGAGAAGAGGTTATCCTTAGGAATAAATTGCTTGGGAAATGGAGCTCAGAGGACTGTGGTTCTGGAGGCTCTATCTCACTTAATGGCTGAGTGCAATGGAATAGGTCTGCTATTTGAGCTATGGGAAAGCACAGTGACTGGGCCCTCATTGACACAGGAAGCATTAATAGGAATGTGGTAGCCCAGGTTGGCCTGGGCATAAAGTGAGACCCCTACCATGAAACAACCAACTCCAAAATGGCTGGAGGTATGGCTCATGTATTAGAATGCCTGCCTAGCAAGCAGGAGGCCCTGAGTTAAAAACCCTGGTACTGCTTGGAAAAAAGAATAATTTGCAGGAAACTGAATGAATCAAGAAATTCTTTTTTGTTGTTGTTGTTGGTCATGGGGCTTGAACTCAAAGGGCTCTGTCCCTTAGCTCTTGAGCTCAAGGCTAGTGCTCTACCTCTTGAGCCACAGTGCCACTTCCGGCCTTTTCTGCTTATGTGATGCTGAGTAATCGAACCCAAGGCCTCATGCATGCAAGGCAAGCACTCTACCACTGAGCCATCTTCCCAGCCCAATAATTTTCATTGTAACTCTGTTTTCAACTTTTCTTGATATACGTAATGCTTGAGTTTTTTTCTCTATAGGGGAAGTTTCCAACTAGTTGTCTGAGTTTATTTTTATTTTATTTTTAAATTTTATTCTAGTTTTGGTTGAGTTTGATTGTTAATAACATTGTAGATGTGGTTTGCTTACTCTCACTCCATTAATGTAAAGAGTGGTAGCACCTTTTGGTCTGACAAAGTGTACAACACCAAAATAGCATGTTCAGACATTTGGCAATTCTTGATGATGGCCATGATGTAAGAAATGGCCCATAAGGGAAGTACATCATCAAATTTAATTGTTTAAGTTGTAATTGTTGAGGGTGTGAATTAGACTTTTTGGGATTAAGATTCCTGTGTTGTACATGGTTATGAGTCATTGTTCCCTGGTGACTGTAGAAACTAGGATGCTTAGTTTATTTGAAAATCAAATATATTATTTATAATTGTGATAGCAACTTTCCAGGGCTGATGATTCAGTCAACAATTTGTACTGAATATAGATAATCCACTAACCAGTTACTTTATCAATTGACAAACACCATCGTGGTCTGCTTCATTATCTGAAAGTTTCTCTTCATTTCTCAGTTTTAAACCCTTATTACATGAAAGCTATTGTAAGAGTATGTGTTTCACATTTTTTAGCCTAAACAACTTGGAGGCAACCACAGTGGCCTGCAGTAAAGCTTCTCGATTGAGCCAAATTTATTTATTTTATTGTTATTTTTATTTATCTGTTTATTTTTGGGTCCGGTCATGGGGCCTGAACTCTGGGCCTGGGCGCTGTCCCTCAGCTCTTCAGCTCAAGGCTAGCGCTCTACCACT